ACTGCATGTCCTTCTAACCTTCACATTCGTTTGCTTTCAGGTATCTCTAAATACTGGTCCATTTTGTATAGACGCTGTTTGGTAAGAGCTAGTAGTTTTCGTGTTTGGCTAAGAAAAATCCGCGTGCGGGTTTTCTACCCTTATCATCTCCACTTTCCTTAAATGGTTCCTAAGACGTCCTTTTTCGTAACGAACAAAGCGTACCCGTCAAAAAGCGTTCTTGACTGGAATTGCCGAAATCAACGTCTCATAAAACAATTTTGAATAATAACATGTTTGGCCCATTTGGGCATCATTGTTAAGCATCTACTTTTCTACTGTGCTGTTACTAACCAGGACCGGTTCGAGGTGATCAAAAGGCCCGACCACAAATGTAGTATGCCAAATAACTGGTATCGATTCCCCTGTGTAGAGCACGACTGCATCTACAAACTGGCTATCGACGACGTTCTAAAATTTAGGTCAATGCAGCGCGTATTGTATTGCCCCGAAAATAGGTCGGGGCTGACTCTCTTGAGGACCGAAATCGAGAAACGCCAATCCTATATTAGAAAAGATAATTACGGTTACCGTAGGGATCCTAACGCTCTAGTTAATCTGGACCTGATCGAAAGCGGGCGCAAATTGTGAAGAGAGCGCTCCCAAGGTTTCTCTGTACCAACCCTATGAAAATGGTTTTAATGGAAGTAGTCTGGTCTGAAGAAAAACATATAGCTAAATCAATCAAGTAGAAGATTAGAATGTCTATATAGGTACCTGCTGCGATAAGATTAATGAAATGATGTATGAATATCTAGCATTTATTATACAAAATAGCCAGAACTAGACATGAAACAGATCTAACAATAAGTTAGTAAATTTCGTTCCGAACGAGTTATGAAAAGTCCCGGTTGTTATAGCCATTTAATAGCTGGGAAAAGAAGCAGTGCCGCTGGGCTCGTGTGCAGTTAGTTGCGAACGTACGTATTCTCTAAAAAAAATTACCCATCCATAACCATGGGATAGTATGAATACAAGATGGCCGTACACATTCGCGTAACAGATTGACTTCAGAGCACAAAATGTATATTTTCGCATCGTGAAGATCACAGTAACCACTTGATGAATTACTACCAAAAAATTGCCTTAGTTTTTCCTACTAAAAATTTAACGACGTTGAATAGTTTTCAAACATTTTGTTTCAAGTAAGCTTTACCTTTAATTGTTTAAAATTTGCTGCAAACGAACAATTCGTATCTAAATGCATAAAGTAAATACATTAAAAAAAAAAAAAACTTCAATAGAACATTAGGGTCTCCTGCGACCCAGTGCCCACTAGAGCATCGTCGTATAGGCGATCATGTTGTTCTCATAACTATAACATACATTACCTATAGAGATACTGTTTAAAGAGGAAACTAATTCAATTAATTCTGGTTATATTTTTATTTAGTAATATCTTCTTCTTAGTATTATTAACATTAACTTTGATATCCTCGTCGCCTTTGTCATAAATTTCATAGTGTTCCTTTACCCACAGCGTCTCACCAAACTCTCATCAGTTTTTTTTTTTACGATTAACTGTTTCAATTCAATGCTTTCTTTGTTAAATTTTCACTCATCTTGTCAACTCATAGCGTCTGCACGAAGGTGTCGTGAACAAACAAACAAACAAACAAACAACAATGATTAATACCTGACCGTTCCATACCTGATTTTTGTTTCTCATTGCCTTCAACTATATGTTTTAATTCAGGCAAACATCAACCTGTGATTTTTCTCCTCTTCGCCGTTCTCTCAGCGATAGTAAGCGTTTCATCGAGGTTGCGTAGAGTATACCCATAACTTCCCGCTATTTCACGAGGGCAACTGTAACTCGTGTAGACGCGATTCACAAATAATTGGATCATCGTGGTAATTTATAGTCATAAGCACTACTAGCAGCTAGCTATATACGCATTGACTTCTTCGCTTCTGTTTGACGGTTGGTCACGTCAGTTATCGTGCACGCCTGGATCTCTGCCTGCTGTGTCGATTTTAGTTATGGGCACTGTTCGGTAATTTAGCTTTCAGATCTTGGTATACTGGACCACTCGGAAGAATAGAGTTAGGCATGGAATAGCTGATCTGCTATAGCGCGCCGTGGTATTTCCTTGAATCAATCTAATTGTCATTGCTTTTAGCGTTTTCGTTATCGTTCATCCTTTGCCGTGGCTTCCCACGGCATTCCCACATCCCAATCGAATATTGCAGACGTAGCGAGCTAATCTCCCCGAATACCCAACGTGCCTGGTCTAGGCGTGCCATAAATCGTAGGTAGCATTACATTTCCAATACTCTTTTCTCTTGGTGCGATTTCATCATTGGCTATAATGATCGAGTTCTTTCTCTATTTTCTAATAGGTCATCGCCTTCAATGGTCTTCGCTGCGCCTTGATCATCGCCAACCAAACAATAGTGTGACAATACTGAGGTGTACACTCCCGTACAGGCTATAGCTATATTATATCTTAGTATTAGCATAAACATACATACGGTGATAGTAACATTGTAATCACGGCCATGACTATAGTTACGGCATTGTTCCTTTTATCGCATTAGTATAATTAACATCAGTGCCGCATTTGAATATTCCGCGCTTACCCCCTAATTATAGTAATAACAATGATCGTACTTATACTTCTTTCAATCTATCCCATCGCATAACGTTGTCACAGCGGCTCGTTTCCTCCCATTGACAACAATATATTCAATGGCACTAACACTATCGGATAACTATGACCAGTTGTGCCACTGATAATAGTAGCAATGTAATAATTACATTAATCGTTGTTAGTTCGTATAACATTTATCTGTGATTGTTATGATGTTCGCATTGTGGTATTTGCCAGGTCTATTACGTCACTGAATTTTGTCACCTATATCAAGAACACGGTATCAATTCATCCTTCTCCTATTGACAGTTCCCCCTCTTTCCGAGACTCACTCGCGCACAAATATGCTTCACAAACAAACGTGTGTCGAACCATGAAGTATCAAAAAGTTGCTACGTCCTCAACAAAGGACGAAGCCATACGATAGAGACAGGGGAGCTTGGTCGGAACTTCCTTATTCCGCTGCTCGTGGGAGAATGTATTTAAGCTTTAGAGTACATGCGTGTTCCAAGCGGGAAGTTTCTACGAACTTGTATGTCAATATGAAAAGTATTCTCGAAGTCAACTATGACTAATGATGACGAAAGAAAGGTCTTATAGCCAGCGCTGTGAACTGATCAGTTCGCTGTGGATTACACTTCGATTGAAAGTGACAGAACCGTGTCACAGCACTGACACCATACGCTGGAAAATTATCATTGAAGTTCATGAGGTTACAATTAAAAAGCACAAAGGACAGCAAAAAACACGTATGATCCAGTTCCTAAGCTGCCAACGCAGCGTCGTTACCAGCTGTAACCACAGTACACCAAATAGCCTTCGTCAATCAGATATGGACAATAGTTGCGCTGAAAGATTTAGTTGTTGTTCCTCAGATGATACTCTGACAAGCGAACGTCTCTACAGAATCAGTTTAAGGTACCATTTATAGAGACAGAAGACAACACGGGCAGAATAAGCGAGAGTGAGCTGATGGTGAATCCATTGTCTCCACTGCGGGAACAGCCGTCGCAAAAGGCACGCTGAACTCCGTTCCTTCTGTGTCACTAACACCACCTTATAAATGTCACTCTTACAAATAGGCGCAACAGCTAAGTTAATGGAAGAAGCGCCATCGTCACGGGGGGTGCATAGGTAAAATACGTACAGGGGAAAACTGGCTGGGTCGACCAGTAGGCATTGGCGGTTCTCTTGTGGCTTCAACTATGCATGCATTCGGTTTCGTCGTTAGGCTAGGGTTTTCTAGGCAACGACATCGAACTTTTGCAGCAGCCAATCCGAAGTTAATGGGGGCTAGCAGGTGGTACCGGTTACACTCGCTCTTTTCACTAAGTTTTCTATGACTTTGTTCTAACTTCTTGTTGGGGATAAAGGAAACGTACCTATCTATTCATTTATATGTTATTTCACTATTTTGCAAAGATCCCACCCCGATATGAGTGTGAAGAACAATATAGTTTTCACAATTTCGGCCGGCTAAACTACGCCGTCTCCCCCCCTCGACTTTTCGTGGTGCGATGCGAAACTATAAGCGTTTGGGAAGCTACAAGTTGCTTATAGCTACTTCGGTATCAGTTCAGTGGTCAGCAAAGCAGCCATTAAAATAAAGCATCTTAGGAAGGATGTAATCAGAGGGCTTGCAGAAAAAGATCAATACACAAGCAGAGCGCTGATTATACGACAGTGAGGTAGGCGGGGCACCACGTCAAGCGAGGGAGTCTTGCGTAAGACAGGTGTTGTACATATACACACGGGCCTTGGGAGCGAGTGGGTTTTAAGCTTTGTCTAAATACAGCCTCTGTCTACTATTAGCTACCTAGAGTTTATCACAAGTTTATACAGTTACGTCGCAATTGCACCTCAGAGAACCCGCACAGCAGTCGAAGTATTCTTTCAGAATCTGTTGCTGGCGGATTAGATTCATTTGCTTTGTTGTTATTGTTAAATGCTAACTCTACAATACTGTACACAATCTTTTTACAGGTTAGCAATCATATTATCATTTATTTATATTGTTCACTTTATCTAGAAAGGCTTCAGTAATAGTAATAGCTAAACAATGATAGTTATGACTTCGTAAAACTAAAACGCATGGGGGCCAAACCTAACCTATTTCGTTAAGTGGTCGCCCAACGAGATGGTCGACTTCGGCTTAGAAAGGCACCGAAATATAAAACGCCTGTTGGTTATCCTCGACTGAGAGCGGTCACCGTCTGCAACTCCATTTGTTATCAATCAAGATTATGATCTGAAACTAGTATCTTACCAGACCGGCCCACATCCGTTCCAATCTTCGGCTTATGTGCTAATATATACATCAATCGCATAAGGCATGTATACCTATACAGTTTCCTACTAGTCTGTATGTATATAATAAAGAACCGTATTTTTTAGGCTAGCCTGTTGCCGATGCAGACTCGCCTCCTCTATCTTTTGCTCAAGGCCTAGATAAACCTTCCGGCGTACTTTGTAGAACGTTCTTATCGTCGCAATTTTTATACGCCATCATTCCCTTTAAGCGTGCGACCTTCTCAGGTGCCAACGAATGACGGGTTATGTATGTATAGAGATAGAGGTGTTAATCACTAGAATATTACCCCTGCTTCGTATTGCCACGATAGTTATATCTGTTCTTGCGGCCTGCGGCCACGAAGCAAAGCAGACCAAACGGATACTGTCGAAATTCTACAATGCATCTGCAGACTATGTGGCTAGTTTGTTACTTGTTTATTTCGTCTCTTCCTCATTCATCTGCCTGTGCCATCTTTTAGATTCTATACGTTGCCTTGTGCCAAGAGCCCATCCACGTGCGCAGTAACCAAAAGCTTGTGACAGTGTTTTTTTGCCGTCTCCTTTTTAGTACAGTAGATTATTTGATAAATTTCGTGATTTTTCTCTACTCTGCACTTTTGCGCAACGTACAAACAGCACACGGCAGACATCTTGTATCATTGTAACAATTAAATGAGTTCGCTACTCAAAGAAGACAACACCGCGGATGCAGTCAAAAATATATAAGACGGTGCTGCACATATTATTGAGATACGATGCATCGCTTACTTCGATTACTCCATTTGTTAACGTTTCACCTATTTAGTACCTGTCTTCATTACGTAATTGCCCACATGATCATCAGATGCTTGTGTCCATTCGTCCATACCTTCAGATGTGTCGTTTGCATTCGATTTGGTCATAATTTTCTGTTGTATTCCCGTTTCCTTTTGCCGCAGAAACCCGTTATCTGTATGATTCATCGTCCAATCAGTCGATTTACTGGTAATCAGTTGAAGGTTTTTGCACTTAATTCTCGCTTCTTTCTTCTGCGCTTAGTCATTGTCCCTATCCGCCGGAGGACTAGGAAATCTAGTATTTCACACCTCTGCTTGTTTACTGCTAGCTACCTACTTATCTACATCAGCAACAGCTAGTTTTCTGGTAGATGTCTCCTTCGTTTTGTTATTTCCGGCAGACACTTTCTGCGACGGTGCCTCGACAGTCATAGCTATACCACCGACAGCGCCTTGCTCTTCAACACCACTCCCAGCGGCGTTTTCGACAAGGCGGCAGAGCGCCGTATCGTATGATGGCGGACGTTCCGTGCGTTCGGTCCTGTCGCTAGCTGGAACGGTCTGTTGGAAGTGAAGTTGCTGTTGCAGCAGTGGTAGCGGTTGTCGTTCTCTCATGGTTCGCTCACCCGGTTGTGCTGGCACTCCGTCTCGATATTCCAGACTTGCGGCTGTCGTTTCGGGTTGTAGTCCAGGCGTCGCGTTTACAGTTCCGCCAACTCCGATAACAGGACCAGGTCCATCAGTCGCTGTATTTCCATTGGCTCCGCCTGCGGGAGCGTTGCCGCCTAGGCCGCACTGCACGCTAATTTCGAGTGAACTGTAGGATGGCGGAGGTGTTTCGGCCATTTTCTTAGCATTCGGAACACCATTATTAGCGCTATTGTCCTTGAAACCTCCAAGCTCCATTTTTCCGTCCTGGGCTTGTTTGGCTTCGGAGGCGATGCGCTTGAGATGATCTGCTGTAATGCGAAGGCAACAGAACAACAAGAACGACAATGGCATCCGTAGAAAAATAGAGAAATAGAAAACGGAAGGCGCACGAAAATGCTTTAACGTTAATAGATGTTCAAATGCGGAAGTCGGTAGGTGCAACCAAAGCCTCCACCGGTCAAGACTGTGGCTGGGATGATGTAGCGGACGTGCCGCGATTGGGGGAATGACTTAGGGAAAAGGTGGGACGCTTTCGTCTGCGGTAATATTATACCCTTCTTTTCTGGTCCATTATGGATTAGGTATTAATTGACTAGCCCAGCTGCTGGTTTCCAGGCTTGGAAAGGGAGGGCTTTTTTATATGATCTTCTTTATATGTAGATTGAGCTATTAATAAAGGAGAACTATTAAAGTGTGCTGTGAACAGTATGGGTCGCAGGAAGCTATAGACATAGATAGTTAATGTATATTCTGTGCTTATATATATGTGCTGTATATATTAAGTTTATGCACACGAATGGTTATTTTTTTATAATTTCGCTATATGTATTATAGGGAAAGTAAATAAACACTTTAGGTTTATATGTACGAGCGCATGTTGTTGTGAAATGATCATCTAATTTCTTCGGCTTTTCTAGCTCTCGCTCTCTACTATCCTTAGAGTAGCTACATGAAGCCTTATGGTATCCTAATTCTACTGTGTTTCCCTTACTTGGAATAAAAATAGTAACCTTTTGTATCCCCTGTATCCCTACCAGTTGCTCTCCGGTCAAATCTAGATCATAAATTGTTTAATTATAGCCACATAAGTCAATTATTTGGGGGAGGGGGTAGATCTTACAGGGGTAGTTTATATTCAATATGGGAAAACTCGAAAACTCTATTCGGCCGCAAGGTTTTACAGTCCAACGCTTGTTCCCGGGTGCCTTTACTAATACAAGATTACAAGTCCACAGTAGCTACTGCCGTTACCCGTAGCAGAAAGCCCGCAAGGAGTAAACCAGCGGCTTGGCGTCTGCCGAGGGCCACCTTTGGATGTACTCGTTGGTTCTTTTCGTTAGTACGGCGCGCCAGGGGAGCTTGCGGCTCGCCAAAGGCGATTTGTTGTTGGGCGGGGACCAAAGCTAGAGAAAATTGGTAGACGAAGGCGGACAGACATCAAAGGAGTGAGTGGCCGCGGTTTTAGCCAAGAAGTAGCCACGCAGCGAAGGAGCAATCCGTCTATTTTGCCTTCGGCTACACGACTCATGCGGGTTAACCTACTCGAAAGAGTTACGACTTTTGGCTACTATACACTTGTAGAATAGAATATGCACAACAATAGCGCGCATGACATACAGTGCTGTCAAAATTAAAATAAGCCACCATATTTAGTGCCTCAAGGAGGCATCCGAGATCGACAAATAACATGTATAACACGCTGGTACAAACATCCCGGCTCTATCTTGCCCATGACACAGCGTGGAATATATATCAATGACACGGTCTCAAGCACTTTTTTTTTATCTAAGCCATCCCAGAACTGAAAACAAGAAAGTATATATAGATATATATCGTACGTATACTAAATAGTACATATCGCTGTGCAATGCACCTTTCAGAGGCTCGAAACAGTCCATTAAAGCTTTGTTTGTAACGAAAAGTTAAAATGGCAAGCATTCTCTACTATTTTCCTCTATTTAGTATTTGCAGTCATCGTAACTATTAAAGGCGTTGTCTTGCAAGATTGCAAGACGTACTCAGCTTGCCGTCATCTTCCATTCTCGTCTCCCCACAAGTAGGGAGCTCGCGATTCTTAGTGCAAACGTGTGTACGAAGAGATGTAGGCGATGTGGAGCTTTACGACAACAAAAACGAAAAGATGAATGGAAATAGAAGGAGCAAAGCCAGGTTGATTGGACTCCCGTTCGATATACACGCATTGGCTGAATGCACTCTGTGAAACGTTTCCTGACTACGCGCTAACCACCAACGCCAGTATCGTGCAGAGACGCTGTCTCCGCCACCATGTTCATCAATCTTTTCTCTCCGAAATTTCCGTTATGTGTTCGCTTCGTCGCTCCAGCATCTTGCAACACTGAATCGGGTTGCGGGGCGATGACACTGGCCTAAGCAGGCGAGAAACGGCATGAACACGCAGAATGGGCATGGTAGCAAGAACAACAGCTTTACGCTGAAGACAAACATACCGTCGTTCGATGGTATTTTTACCGTTGGTTCGGACTTAGCCCCGAAATCACCATACGCACTCTAGTTTGTAAGGAAAACAAAGAAAGAGGGATTTCCCATATAAATGAACAAACGTTCTCTTTAGATACCGTCTGAGAACGAAAAGCAGACATTGATACGCACGGCGCACGAGCTCATGCACTCCGGTTGCAGTTGTGCTACGATCGCGTGTGAATATTTGTGGATCAAATTGTTCTTATTGCTTTCATTCAATCGAATCGGCTACTTGTCAAAAGCATTAAAAGCGACATAAAACTGATAGAAATGTTGGCGTTGACCAAGTCAGCAAAGGCTTACAATAGTTGCACTTTTTGATAAGGTTTTAGGTAAAAGCGTGTCATTTGCAAAGCTAGGCTTTATATATTCTAAGCCTGCCAAATTAATCATACTTAATCAGTTAATAGGCACCGATCCGCTTCCCTGCTTTCTCTGCTGCCCTTACTTTTGTTATACCTCAGTTAAGTTTTAAACAGAATAGAGCAGTTCAGATCGTTGGCTGTACCACTTCAAATGGTGGGCTAATCTTTATTTCCTTGTTTCCTATAGTTTTAGCTGTGAATTACGCGTGAGTGAACACCGAGACCTCTACATGCATGCACATGTGATAGAAACGACATAGATTTAACGAAGCGGTATTTCCGCTAACAAGCGTTGACTTAACGTACACGCATACAGCACATTCGCTATTTCCCCGAAGGACAAACCACATCTGCACATAAGAACGTACAATATCTAACACCGACGTTATGACAATGTCTGCCAGCTCGCGAGATACGCCACTTTTCTGTAGATGGTTTCGTGCTCGTCTCAGTTCGCCACTCGAAAAGGCACACGGTAGAGCCATTCGTGAGAGCAATGTACCCTTGGTCTAGATACTTTTTGTCGGCCGTCGGTCTTGAGGACATTGGGGTTAGGCGCTGGGGAAAGTCCCATCGCTACGTCGCAGCCGTAGGCAACGGCTACAGAAGGCCGCCTTCCTTGCCACCAGATGTTTACCCCATTGCAAACGGTTTTCGTCGTCGGCTATCAAAAGCCACTTTAAAACGACTAGCGATGTTGAAAAGCTGCAATCAGCAAGCATCAAAACGTTAACGGTGTTTATTGTTACCAGATCTACCTGGTGCAAAGGAAGTCTTATAGCGGGTTTTTAAGCATACCAATTAGCAACACAATGCCACGCAAATATTTCATTCCATTTCGATGTGGACAGCATACGCATATAACCCACGCAGGTAAAAATGAGATAATGGGAGAAATTCCGATAATTATGAATGATAATCAAATAATTCCATTAACAAACTGATGCCGTAGGATCCACAAAAATAGCTATAATATAATAAATGATAATCTGAAGTATTGTAGAGGTTTTGCCTGAACAAAGAAAACAAAACTTTTGGTTATTCTTAAGGAAGCTATCGGCTTTGAGCTACAGAGCAGTAAAATAACGTGTTTACTCACCACAATGCAAAATATTCATCTTTTTCAGTGCTATTGGACGTTATACCGTATATTCATAACGGTAGACCCAGGATCTCCGAATGATGTTTGAGCAGTTTAGGGATAAGTGACCTATACAGGGTCTCATACGGATTGTCAGGTCTTGATCAATGCTCACCAAGTCAAGCTCTAGCTATTCGAATTCTTGCTGAAGTCTCTACAATCCAGGTTTGCTGCTGTTTCTTTGCCAGGCGTTCCTCTTTGTTGTACACAGTCGGCATGCAACACTGCAAAAACCTATAGCGTCCGGAATTCTTTCTTTTCCCGGATCCTGCTTTTTTCTTCTGGAGATGGGCCTAAAAACATTACCCCTTCTTCACCATTTCTACCCTACTGCATCTGCTGTTGCCGCTACTTCTGCGAGAAATAATGGTATGCGAGCCAATGCCGAGGCACTGGCATTCGTCCCAAGTCAAGCCTTTTCACCCGTTTTTGAAGGCCCTATTCCTGTTGTCCGCCACCTCTGCTAGCTGCATTGTCCCCACTGTGGCTCCATTTCGAAGAGGAGGGCCGGCATTCAACCAGCGTTCATGTGGGCTTACGAAGGCCAAATGGTTACTGGCGCTGCCGGTTGAGGACGTCGGGAAGAAACATGTCCCATACCTCCCCCGTCGCCGCCAACAGTGTTCCCGCAGTCGCGCGCGTTTGCTCTGCCGTGAAACGGCATGCGGCCTAACGGCCCAACAACCCAGAAGCAAAAGCAGCACCAGTAGCACAACTACTACCAACACCGGTGTACTTCCTAGGCCTTTCGTGGGCAAGCTCTATGTATATGCTGCGTGCGCCCTACGGAGGCGCCCCAATGCCCCCCAGGAGAATGGAGAACGCGTTCGTAGCTCAGTGGTGCACCGGAACACCGGAATGCTGCTCTTACGTGCGCTTGCCGCCTATTCAGACCGCTACTGGCTACCGCTGAAGCAGGAAAGCGAACGGATGAGAGCTAGCGGCGGCAGCAGCAGCAGCGTGACTCTTCAAGTGGAAAGATTCGCATAAAAATGGCAAACGACAAGGAGACGCAAAAGGAGAGACGGGCAAGGCGGTGCATGAAACGAATGGCCAAGTGAGCGATTGGCCCGACCATGGATCCATGGGTCAGCAGCCTAGTGAGTGTTGCCCCCCGCCTTAACCCCAGCAACGGATACGTTTTGGAAGGCAATGGAGAAAAGTGAGGCGGGGAGTAAGGGTGAGTAACGAAAAAAGAAGTCGACGATACTACGGAAACAAGCCAAGGAGAAGAGGAGGAGAAGAAGAGGGAGTGGGTAGGTGGGGTTATATTTGGCTATTTGGCTTCTGCTACTTCTACTAATACTACTTCTGATGTTTCTTATCTCCGCTCACCAAGGCGAGGGCACGTAAATTGTGGTCGATTCAAAGACCGACCGCCGGTGGTTGATTCGTATTTGTGACCTTCGAGGAGTTCACAATTTACGCATTTTTCATTCCATAGTAAAAAGAGTAGAGGAACACGTCGTCGTGATAGCATTTAGCTCGATATAATCCTATTGAAGTAAATGAGACAATTTCTATTTATTTTAAGTGATATGAAAATTTTGCTTCATTCCAGTGTAAATAGTATCAATTGTAAGTCTTTGCAACTACGTAAATGCTATCCGACGGCAGGAATAATATTTTCGCGTTAAGTGCTCACCACCTCTGGAACAAGCATCTTACGTATGACAGATTTGCGTCAATATCTCTTTAATTCAACGTTGTTCCAGATAACTCTCGCCTTGGACTGAGTCATAAAATGGTTCTGTCACTTGCATATATACCTAATGATATCCTATAAAAATTATCTTGGATTGGTTGACAATAGCAGGATAATTTTTTAGTTCGTATTTTACCTTGACTGAACCACTGTCGCTGTTCTAACTACACACGATGCTAAAGGCCCACCCAATAGGTCAATGAACATACCATCCTTGGCCAAGCAGAGTGTGCGCCGTGTTCTTGTCTCCGGAGTAGGACCTTCGTTGGTCGTCGACCAAACCCCTCTGCGGCTCGGGATGATCCCAATGGGCCGAGACGAGGACACATCATTGTCGCTACCATCCTTTAACGGCCAACCCCTCAGCGTGTTTGAGGCTTTCGTGTATAAAAATATCATCTTCTACCAGCACTAGCAGCAACTGCTATGGCCGCTAGCGCAAGTCCTACTATCCCGCTCAGATGCCTTTAAAGCTAGGCAGATGGTTGGTGAGCCGTCCCCCTACGCTATTCCTGAACGCTTGGCTCGTTCGTCACGATGGACGATGGCCAATAGCTGTAGGCACGTCCTTGTGTGGTGGCTGTGAACTGAACCACCATACACCGGGATTAGGTTTTGCTCCAACTCTTTTGGTTGCCTCTAAGCATGGTCACGGATAATAAGCAAATCTCGAAAGCGGTAGTAGATTAAAGACTGCCGCCTGGTCCGTTAGCAACATGGGATTTTGCAGTGTGTAGTTTTTTTTGCAACCACGTAGAAGTGAAAATATCTAAGGGAATCCTTGAGCAATGCCGGAAGTCGAATAGGAGAGCTAACTGGCAAAGGCCAACATTGGCACCACTACCCCGACAGCAACATTACCCTAGCGGGAGACTTTATGAGCTGGAAAGTCCACGATTTCTACGCTACTTTAGCTAGAGCAGAGATGTAAGAAGAGGCTGAGTCGTATCGCAGGGTCTAAACGTCTAACATTGGCCGCTAGGGTTACTTAGAGTTGGGCTGGTTTAACACAAACATTCATAGTACGACATTCGAGTACACCGTGCAGGGTAGATTGACGGTCCAACTATGCGATTGTCGTACGACCAAAAACTCAAATACAGACCAGCAGTGCACAGGCAGTCCAAATCGCCGCTTTAGCAAGGAGTAAGTCGTCAGCGTCGTGGCTTCGTTTGTGGAAGAGATCGCTTCTAAGTGAACAGTATACGATGCGCGCGGACCCTTACGATGCTGACGAGCTTAGGGGAAGCCGAATTTGGAGTTGAGTTTCTTGAGTTTAGATTGCCTTCTTCTCTGTTTAGGCGCCGGGTGCTTGACCGAATCGCTTTGTCATCTTACGAAGCACAAGCCTCGCTGTCCTCTTCCTCTCCACAAGAATAGTGGATAATTTTATACTTTAGGCAACGTACTGCGTGGAAAGATACATTTGGCGCGCACTATTTGCGAGCACTTCGTCCGTCTATTTTTGCCTTTATCTCGGCATGCGTAGCTTTTCAATTCAAATGGTCAGTCAGAAGACTGAGCTTTAGGTCGTGGAGGTTCAATCCAATTCACCTCCACGTTAATGAAAATGTCCTTATATAGCCAAGATGATAAATATATAAGCAAAAGGAAATAAAATCGAATTACGAAGCGAACCAGACGCGTAATCTGTGATATAAATTTTCTTTCACGTGAAAATCATAGGTCAGTTTAGTGAATAAATTGACTGAATAATTAATAGTTTTTTAATTTATTTCTATGACCCGTCTCAGGAGACCCATTTTCAGATTTTCTTAATGCAGCTTGTTTGTTTAATAATGCATGAATGAAGAGTACGTAGACCCATCGCTACGTGATTCAATACGTTCTGGGCTTTGGTGTTAATGACTTTTCTTACTCTAACACTCCAACGGTTGAGACCGATACTGCCGTTATCATAGCTTACTAACCCAGTACAGTCTTCTCGTTGGGAGTCTTTCCATCGGTGTGGCGGGCTTGTACGATCGCCCGGTGTACTTGTCCTGGTTCTCCATTTTGTGGCAGGTGCACCCCGAGAATTTGTTCAGCGTTTCCATACCGGTTTGGCAGAAGCAACTGTAAGCACATTAGAAGACAAGACGATTCAAATATCATATATGGGGTGTCAAAATATATAGTTAACTGAAATTAGACAGAATTCACAAATGCTTCGATTAAGCAATGTTCTAATCTGATTATTTGCTATTATTTAGTATTTGTCAAGCTGTCTAGCGGATCTAGCATACTTTAGAGCTGAATATTTTTTAAACTAGTTGGGCTGGAATGATGATACTCTCTTCACGCTTGTCGCAATTCTTTGGCAGCTTCTGCACAACCACATAGCTTTCCTAAAATAATTCCTCTATCCATAGCCTTTGAAAGTGAATCGATACTTGCCTCTTTTTGGGACATGAAAGACCCCATAGTCACACAAGCTTGGATCAGGAGGATACGTGGAGTGAAGTCAACATTAGATATTCGTTTGCCCGATCCAGAAAATAATTGGGCATGGTGATGATATCTGGCGTTGTCATCAAGCAACCAGGCTGCGTGCTTTCGATTGCCGTGCCAGCGGTTTATGAGTCTCTTGAGTAACTTAAGACAGCGGCCTGCATTCATTATTTCATTTTCTCAAGTAGCAGACGCTTTTGATGTCCTACCATCACTTTACGCCCGAACCCACTCAGCATCGCGACCAAACTCGATTTCTCTCCAAGGGGACACTACCCTTTCGCCTGGCCTTTCTCCAGCTGGTGGTAGAAATTGAACCATGCCTTGACTACGGCTCCAGGAGGTTTTTTGGTAATTAAATTAAAGTAAAGTAAAGTAAAGCGGTAAATTAAAGTTCCGCAAATTGCACGTGGAGTACACTACCCGCATTTCCACTTGGCCTGGGGTCAATGCACGAGGGGCCCATATTTTAGTTATATCTCGCATTTTCAGTGTGTGTGAAATGCCAGTTCTGGCCGACAGAGCTTTTAGACTCTAAACTCTGTTTTCGTAAAAAAAAAAGCCTTGTCGATTGGAACAATGCGCCATTACTCTTCTTGTATAGTTATATAATCACCTATACGCTGGCCCTTCAATCTCCAATCCTGAAATGCTTGCACCATTTACGCATGATGTTCTCGCTCAAGGGCTTCTAACGTCTTCATCAACTTTCGATGAATTTCCGTAGCACTGTGACCTTCGAGAAATAAAAACTACGCCACTGCACATTAATTATCGTCATCAAGAGATTTTTCTTTCTGAATTGACTTCTCCTGAAGAAGACTCTGCCCGTTTACACTGACAAGATTCTAGAAGACCAGCACTTACCAGTAGAATTTCTGGTTTGGTAGCAGCGCCTCCCTCAAAAGCTGTTCAATTTCAAGACCTGTTGGAACCATTTGTAACAGCTTAATATTTACCAATTTAAAACACAGGCGTGTATTACTTTATATTTTGTGCACAGATTCACTGGGAAAACGCTTAAGAGTTGCGCACTGATAATAGCAAAAGTTTCGACCCATTTCGCCGACCCTCCGTCGTAGCTTGACTGGTGTTGTTTTCTGAACTTAATGCCAAAACAAACAAAACCAGACGATGCTAACCATACCACACAAAGGCGAATTCAACTGGAAATCGTTTGGGGACGTTTTTAAAGGCTTTAAGATGTCTGAAGTTACCCTAAGGCAAAGCCACTATCGTATCCAGCATCTTTGAAAATAAAAATATTTTTAGAACGGCGAAAATAGAAGCCAGCCAATAGCTGACGTATGTTTATATATATATATCGATGCAGGTTCTTCTTGGCAACAACTCATCGGCGAAAGTTGACAGAAAGAATTGAAGCAGGATGAGAAACGTCTGGGAATCGGGACATCTGGACTGGGGCAATTCACTTCCTCTGATTCATGCTAGAGGAAACATAGATTTCCCCAGTACGCGAAGAACTGAATGAAATGGGGAGTAAAGCCATTTTCAATACTGGGCTTCATAAACCGTTATGTTCGTACATATCATTACATAATGCGTATTGATATTTCGTGTACCAATATAAATTACTTTTTGTATTAGGGCTCTTATAATAGAAATGCTAATATTATTTACGATACTACGTAAAAATATTAAGCCCAAAATTTGTCAAATAGATAGGAGCGTCAGTGCGCTTCGTTATTTCCTTTGATTCTTCGCATAATTTAATTTTTGCTTTTCATTACTGTCAACGTACATGTGTATGTGAAAGATTGCTATCCTCTACTTTTATGAGCTCAACAGAGGCCAAACCATAATAATAATAGTTGAAATAAATGAGAAAATGACTAGCAAAAGTCAATCACGCCCTTTTTAGATGATATCTCAAAACACTGCCTTTCCCAAATGATTAGTAACAATACACTATACGTCGAGCTACCAGAGGGCTCTGTTAAAGAAAGCTCAATCTACTGGCGAAATGGTGGTTGTTGTTGGCTAGAGTTAGATTTGAACAGCGTATGAGGCAGCAGATTTCATGAAACGTCATGAAGATAAAAATCTTTCTTTCGGCTGATCTCAGTACAGACGAGAGGGCACGCCCGGCTTGGCTCTAAGATTTACGTTGACTGAAGAAATGATCCAAAGTTAAGGGTTTGACAGCAACGAGAAGACAAGGGATCCCCTACGACGCTGCCTTGCCCTGTCCGCTTCCTTTTCAGCCCCGTTTTTGGGATCTGGACAAGCCATGTTCTGAGGGGCTCATTCGCAGGTTGAAGTCGCTCGGCCCCATTCGATAAATCTATCATCACTGGATAAGGCTTAAGCCAATTGATAGCTCAATTGGACTTAAGGTTAGATCAGGACGCCAGGATTTACACTTCTTCACTATAGTCAAGATTTACTTGCGTAAACTCTGATATTATGTGGTCACACGGATAACAGCTTAAGGAGATGCCATGAGCTCGGTTTTCATTCTATCAAGTGTATATGGTACCTTCATATGCCAGAGACGGTATATCTGCAGTAGCATATGTTATACTATACATTCGGTAATGTATGTTCTGCCTGTATCGTTGTTATACGGATATTTAGCTGGCGGACTTACGGAGTGCTTACACTTCGTTCTGGGTTACAACCTCACTATCATTGCGTGGTGACCACAATGATCTGCGTGATCCACAACGAAACTAACAACAAGTGGCGTAAACCTAAAAAGCCGCATCTACAATTACCATATTCGGTTTATGCCACTTTGATGATACTGCAGGTCCAACGGATGGTAATCTACAGCGAAATCAACGAATTTTTTTTCCAAACCTTTCTACCCAAAACTGCACTGTCAGGCTGTTAGGATGAAAGGTACAGTTAGAAGGCCATGCTGAGTCGGCTGCCCTGTCGTTCGCCACTAGCTATAGCAGCGCCAAGGGTGACAGTGTTCAGCGACACCGAGCAGCAGCGAGCGGAAATCAAACTTTTGTCTACTTCCGGTTTCCTACCACCTTGCCTGCTTCTCTTCGTTACTCCAACTACCCTCTTCCAACCGCTGCCATCCCAAAAGGTTTTCGTTCTATTCGCTGCCTTTTCTTCGTCTTCCTTTTTCCTAAACTCCTTTCATTTCTAGCGCACTATTCTGCCCTGCTCTGGACTCTATACTCGTCCCCATCATTTACCATCTGCACTTCGACCAGGACTACGGCTGTCGATGGACGCTGTCGGTGGTAGCACTGCCGATAGGAATTGCCATCACCAGCGCTTCGGCAGCTACCATCTTATTGCAGCTTGACGCTCACTCTTGCATGGATATGCGTGTACTATGCTCCCTTTATCGTTCCCTGGATTCGTAGTCGTGCAGGCCTGCGGCTTTCCTCCCGATTCGATGCACGAAGGGAACTTGCCTATCGGGTGTTTTCCGTTAGTTGACTACTGTTGGTTTATGGCCGACTTTGTTCGTTCCTATCCTTTTGCTAGTACATCCTGTTCGCTCTTTTTTATCCTTTTTTTATAATTCTGTTCCAAGAAAGGAGCAACGCACATTGAGATGAGGTCGGAGAAAGGAGAACAGCACGGAAAACTGGCCGCTATGCCTAGGCGTTTTTCGACGGGAAAATACGGTAGAACTACCTACCTGATCGAGATATCGTCCACTTCTTGAGACTCATTGTCGAACAGTTACGTGAACCTTTAGAAGGAGCGAAACGAATCCACATTGACGGAGTGCGACCAATTGCAGCTCACTTGTTAATCATGAATCGTGGCTGCGGTGACCTTGGCTGGCGCCTTCGGCTGAGCTAGTCTGTGGGTCCATATTAGGTAGGCATACGAGCTTCGTTGTCTTTGCTGCTACGTTAATGTTTTCATCCACACGACTGATTAATGCTGTATGAGCGTAAATAAGTACTTTTTTTAAATAAAAATAATTTTCGGTTTGTTATAATTGTGAATTTTTGGTGACTTCAGAATGGGTATTATCTAAATACGATGTTCATATGCTTTTTAACTTCGGAAATAATTTATAGAAAATACGTATATTTAATGCCGAGAATAAGGTGGCGTACGCTAAGGTGGTTAAAATCGGGACTGTAACGCAATATATCCAGAGAAGCCCCGGAACTCTGAGGTTTGTCGTACCCAGATGATTCCCGAAGCAAACAAGCAATGCCAGTTACTGCACGATACTTAGGTGTCTATGGTTATATGTTTTACTCCCTGTCAGCACTCGCAGATAGATCCCAAGACCATGATCTAGCACAAAAGCTTTAATCCGAAATGGCTTTATGATAAGAATAAGTCTTTGTTCGTAACCTGTCAAAGTATTCGTTACCGCATAGAGGAGACAACTTTATATTGCTGCTATACGTATTATTTGTATCGAAGCAACGGAATGCCCCAGCCAAACTCTGTCAAGAAAAACTGTCCTTTCTTCTCTCGCTAAGACACAGAGCATCGCAGGATCACAACTGGCAGACAAAACGGAAAGGATAAATGAAAGCATTTGTCCCTTATATAATGTCCACCCATCGGGCGTGTGTTTTGTCTTGCGGCCCTGCGCAATAACTTCCTGGTCTATCTTTCTCTCGCCTTCTCTTTTGTTCTGCTTCCACTTTTGCAACTACAGCCGT